CAACTGACTGTACTTGGGCAGGTTGGCCTTCACAAACTGTGCGTACTTCGTCAGGGCACGCTTCGGTTTCTCCCCACTCTTCGTGGTTGCTTTGGTCTTCTTGGTACGTTTCGGAGACGGCATCGTCTTGGCACGCTTCTCCAGTGCAGCACGTTCGGCAGGTGCAAGGGCCTTGTAGAGCTTGGAGGTCATTTTCCCACGCCGCGAAACCGGAAGACCGCGCAGGGCGGGATTGTTCTTCTGCTCCATCATGAACAGCGCGTATGCGCCAATGGCAAGACGAGAACGGCAAAAACGCAGCATTGGTGGTATTAAAGTTTCACCTGTTCCTTTATTTCTTTTGTTCCAAAGAAAAAAAAAAACACAAAAAAAAACATTTCGCAGCGGTAAATGGGTGGACAGAAGAGAAAAAGAGAAGCGGCAGGGTTGGAACTCCGCCCCCGCAACAATGTTGGTGCACGGCCGAGGGGGGCCAGCACAAGGCATCAGCATCACAATGAAGTTCTATGATGGGGCTCCGCTCCACAAAGAATAGAAAAGCAGCGGAAAATGCTGCAAAGCAAAAACAGAATATCAATATCATTCCATCCTATTCTCTACAATGTAACGGAAAAAATGATACTAAACATTCCTGCCGGAGAATGCAAAAACAAACACGTCACCGCGCTCAAACTTTCTCCTTTTTACATCTCCCCTTCCTCAGCATATTATCTATGTGTGGAGTGTTCCCTTTTTTTTTGGCGTAATATAGCACCATCTACAAAGAAAAACATTTGGACGTCTCTGTATCCATTTAAATTTTACTCCCATGCACTTGTGTAAGCTGTTGCTGCTGCTGCTGTTTCCACAGCTTTGCCACCGCAGCAAGTCTTTCCCTGTTGGGCAACTGACTGTACTTGGGCAGGTTGGCCTTCACAAACTGTGCGTACTTCGTCAGGGCACGCTTCGGTTTCTCCCCACTCTTCGTGGTTGCTTTGGTCTTCTTGGTACGTTTCGGAGACGGCATCGTCTTGGCACGCTTCTCCAGTGCAGCACGTTCGGCAGGTGCAAGGGCCTTGTAGAGCTTGGAGGTCACCTTACCACGCTGCAAAACCGGAAGACCGCTCAGGGCGGGATTGTTCTTCTGCTCCATCATGAACAGCGCGTATGCGCCAATGGCAAGACGAGAACGGCAAAAACGCAGCATTGGTGGTATTAAAGTTTCACCTGTTCCTTTATTTCTTTTGTTCCAAAGAAAAAAAAAACACAAAAAAAAAGATTTCGCAGCGGTAAATGGGTGGACAGAAGAGAAAAAGAGAAGCGGCAGGGTTGGAACTCCGCCCCCGCAACAATGTTGGTGCGCGGCCGAGGGGGGCCAGCACAAGGCATCAGCATCACAATGAAGTTCTATGATGGGGCTCCGCTCCACAAAGAATAGAAAAGCAGCGGAACGTCAAGCGCAGGATAGACGGTATCAATCACGCTGGTATCCACGCTTTCATTTTGTCTATGGCATCTCATATGCGTCTTCAGGAGGGAGTTGAGTTACCCATGCACCGCGTGGACATCCGTACCGTCTCCAACGACTCTATGGAAAGTGTGTATTCAGTTATCGTTACCCAAAGCGAGGAAGAAATACACGAAAAAGCAAGACTCTACAAAAAGCATCACAGTGTTAGAACGGCAGTGACGGTGTAGCTGCTGCAGGGGTCGTCAGACCCGGTTTGTCTACGGCAGTTGCCGTCTTTATTGAATTCCACTTTGCAGCAATTACCTTCATCCGTTCTTTGATTGGAAGATGTTTCACATGCGGCATCTGTTCCTTCACAAATGTGGCGTATGACGACACTGTGGCTTTGGTGCCGGTTTTATTCTTCCTTGCGGAAGTCTTTGTTTTGGTCGTTTTGCGAGTTCCGCCACCGGTTTTAATTGTCAGTTTTTTTTCTTTTTTGCTAACTGAATGTTTTTTCCTCGGCGGCGTTGGGGATATACTCACAACTTCACGCCGGGAGAACTCTCTTGCACGCCGCTCAAGCGTCTCTCTTGTAGCCTCTGGAAGAGTGTTAAAAATGGCAAATAGTCTTTTTTCGCGTATGCTAGGGGATGCAATGGATGCAATAGCCGGATTAGAAAGCTGCTCCTTGTAGAAGAGCTCGTACGGCGTAATCTCGTTCGGATACCTGTAAGATGGAGTCATCTTGTAGTCGCCCATATTCTTGGCTTCCCAAGCTGCAGCCCGCCTCTTGAGCGCCTCCATGTCGTCTCGGGTGAGTTGATTGAACATTTTTACTATCACTTTTTTCTTCTGCACCGCTGACAAGCCGTGCAGGTTGGTGTTCCTCCTTTGCTCCGTCTGAAAGAAACGCAGTGTCAGCTTCCTGCTGTTATACAGTGGCCCTACTGTTCGTAACATGCTTCTCGTACGGCCTTAAAGCGTCTGTGTGGGCACGCACACGGAGAGAGCCGTACGCCCCCAAACTGCACAGCCCTCCCTGTAACTTCGCCTCTTTCCCTCCCACCCCGTGTTTATCTTTTTGTTGTTGTTGTGGGTTTGACGTGTTTGTTTGAAACCATCCACACCCAGCCACAAAGAGAAAACCAAAAGAATAATAATAGTCATCATACCAAAGAGAAGAATGCTGTTACAGCCAAAACCTCAGAAGACGCGGGTCGCCACTGAGGGAGTGGGGGTGGGTGGGTTAGTGTAATGAAGCCAATAAAGATCAACAGGGAACATACATCTAAGATGAGACCTTGTGTCTCCCTTTATTGCTAGAAAAGGGAAAGGACCATAATAGGCGATAACGGTTTGACTCCGTGTACGCCCAACGTTCTAATTCTGATGAGACACACCCAACATACAGCTTCAAAGAAGCAAATTCAAAAGACGCTTTAACAACGACTTGGCCCTCCTTGTCAGCTAACCAAGTGGCGGTCGTTGGACCCCCTCAACTACCAGATTCCCTTCCGCATGGAGGGCGTTAGTAACAGTAGTCGTAGCAGCAGCTGAAGTAGTAGTAGTCGGGGGTTAAGCTCGGAGGACAGATAACAGTAAAAACAAACAGATAAAAACCTTCACTCGTTGCCTCCAACGTGGCGTCTAAAAAAAAAAAAAACACACACACACACACACAAAAAGTAATAGATAAAGAAACAACGTACATGCACAAAAAGGGTCGTCGTCTAATTGGTTTTACCCGACCGCACATTCCTTCCACAAGCCCCTACAACAAAAACCACAAAAAAGCAGCATAAACAAACAGGCACAACAGAAACAAAAAGATAAATGTGAAGCACAGAAGTAAAGGAAACATCTACTACCATTACATGATGAAGGCAATCTCCGAACAAATTATGGAAATTCACATGCAGCGTCCATAAACTAACAGCAACAACAAACAAGGGCAGAACCACAAATTTAAAAAAAAAAAAATTATTCAAAAACAGGCCAACTCCTGCAGAATCCGCAAGAAGACGACAATCTATGGAAAGAGACTCAAGCTCACCCTCTCCAAACCGGGTTTTGTGTTGTTGCTTTTTTATCTTGTTCCACTGTTGCGGTTTCCTTCAGTGTGCTTCCTTCTTCATCCATCGCATAAATGCCGCTGTTCCCTTAAAGGACACCAAGTCGTCCACTCCTCCTCTTTATCTTCACCCAACCGTTGAACACTAACCCGACGTTCCAGCCAAAGAATAAAGAAAGAAGAAAATAGTAATAATAATAAAAAAACACGACTCCATTACACCCTTTTCTTCTGCGGTTGTTGCAGTTGCCGTTGTTGCTGCTGCTGTTTCCACAGCTTTGCCACCGCAGCAAGTCTTTCCCTGTTGGGCAACTGACTGTACTTGGGCAGGTTGGCCTTCACAAACTGTGCGTACTTCGTCAGGGCACGCTTCGGTTTCTCCCCACTCTTCGTGGTTGCTTTGGTCTTCTTGGTACGTTTCGGAGACGGCATCGTCTTGGCACGCTTCTCCAGTGCAGCACGTTCGGCAGGTGCAAGGGCCTTGTAGAGCTTGGAAGTCATTTTCCCACGCCGCGAAACCGGAAGACCGCGCAGGGCGGGATTGTTCTTCTGCTCCATCATGAACAGCGCGTATGCGCCAATGGCAAGACGAA